TACTTAGTCACTACGTCCATGCTCCTACTCCTGCTCATGTAGCTGGCGCTGAGCGTGTGCTCCGTTACCTCAAAATGGCTCATGGACAAGGTATTTTGCTTCCTTCTACTGGTCCTCTTCACCTCACAGCATACTGTGATGCAGATTGGGGCGGCTGCCAAACTACCCGTCGTTACACCTCTGGCTACTTCATCACTTTAGGTAATGCCCCGATTTCTTGGCGAACCAAGAAACAATCTGTTGTGGCACGTTCATCTGCAGAAGCTGAATACCGAGCGATGGTTGGTGCTGTTAGTGTGATCATTTGGCTGCGGGCGCTTCTTCAAGATTTGGGGGTCCCTTCTGTTGGCCCTACCATGCTGCATTGTGACAATCAAGCTGCTCTCCATATTGCCGCTAAACATGTGTTTCATGAGCGCACTAAACATGTTGAGATGGACTGTTATTTTGTTCGTGAACATGTCACTTCAGGCGAGATCCATCCTTGCAAAGTTTCCTCTCTTGATCAGCTTGCCGACGTTTTTACAAAGGGACTTGCTGGTGACCGTTTTCAGGAGTTACTCTCCAAGTTGGGCATTTGTAACCTGCATGCCTTAGCTTGTGGGGGAGTGAAAGATATATAATGTACGTGTTTGTAGTACGTAGCCGTTTTGCATGGTGTAGTATGGGATATGGGCTACTTGCCTAAGCCCATCTCTTTGTGTAGCCCTAGTTGCCGAGTGAAATAGGGTTTGCAGTAGACATATAAATATGTATGACTGTGAACGGCTGCGAACTATGAAAAGAAGCTGAGATAGCATAACTTCTCCGTGGAGTAAGCTCATTCACATCGAATGAGACATACCACGTAAATATTGTGTCTCGTGTTCTCTCTTTTACGTTTCTACAAATCTTTTATATGCAGATGCCAATTTTGAGCTTCCCTTTTTGGGATTATTCCTGTAATTCAGGAATGTATAAAATCCCTCCAGAGGTTCCATTTTTACAGAGTAGAGTTAGGGCGGTGGGAGTCGAGTTCGCCATATCACGGCCGGAGTCGAGTTCCAGCTGTGGGTTAATTCATTTTTGGGATTATTCATTTACTTCTTTTAAGTGCTTATCGGCTTCACCCACTGCGGGAGTCGATATGGGCGGCAGGAGTTGAGTTTGGGGGTGGGTTATTGAGGGAGGTTAGTTTAGGGTGGGGATCCTTTAGGTTTTTTCTTATAAATTATAATTAGGGGTAAAAGCATCCTGTCGGTACAATTTAGAGCTAAAAATTCAAAAACTTAGGACATCAAATAGAAGTTTAGAAATCTTTTCCCCAAACTTCTAAGCATTGTCATCCCAAAGATACTCTTGAATTTGATTTCATATCATTCATGGAGATTCTAATTCCTTTCATTAGTGAGCATTTCCTTCTAATCCACTTCCATGAACCATTTCTCAATTTTAGATGTTCAAACCTCTCACATGACATGACGCGTTGATTTTTAGCAAGGCGCCTATCCAAGAAGGGCCAATATTGTGAACATCACTAATGGTTATGGACAATGGTAGATCACAAGACAATGGTTGAGTCACAACGATGCCAAGCATCCAGTTCATGTGAAGCCGTTGGGCGAGCGACTATCCCATTGACAAACCCTAGATTATCCTTGGCTAGTAGGAGATTTTGTCATCTCAATCCCCCATTCTTCATAACTTTTTTCCATCAAGAGATCTCCACATGGTCCGGATCTGATTGATGTATGAAATAGACGAAATTGACATCCAACGAAAAAGGTTTGGTTGATGAAGCATGTTCGACATCATTCTTGCTATCATCGCTTGTAGTCCAACAAAGGTAAGCTACAGAACATCGCTAATGCAGACAAAATTCACAGGTTGGAGCTTACTGCTACCATGATTAAAAGTAAAATACATGATGATTACTTGGTTTCCTCGTTTGATTTGAACGATACTACTTCATGGAGAGTAGAGCCTTTAGGTTTTTGTATACAAGTACTAGAAATCTCCATAAGAGACATATTGGTGGGAGGTGTCGAAAGTGATGTAGTATTACTAATTTGCGAGAAATTTATCATTAATGTTTGTTAACTTGCCTAATTATAACTCGAAGAATTGTGTTGCAGGTTAACCCACAACCCAACAGAGCCCAGTCTCGACTTGCCCAACCCAACACGAAGTAGTGTGTGGGTGGATTGCGAGTCACAATTGTATCAACTCGTTAGTAAGCGGTTGAATCAGTTTCAAATCGGAACCCACCCATTGCTCACCCCTAGATTTTCGTTAAAAAGAATTGAACAAATTTCAAGTCATACATAAATTAATATTTTGTTTCCTCAAATACTTAAATTTAAAATGATATCAATTAAGTTTTTAAACTTATAAAGCTAGAGTACTTTTGCGTAAATAGTGAATAAATTATTTTAAATACTAATATAAGTACATATAATGTTTTCGGTTTTCAAAATAGAATGGGTTAACAATATTGAAATGCCCTTTTAATTTGTTTATTTCTTTTCATCTTTTTTGAATCGGTGGGATCTTCATGAATCAAAAATGGGTTTGTTAGCAACTTCCCTGCTAACTAGGATATATCAACTAAACAAATACTAACAAAGAAGGAAAAACAAATCAAACCAAGTCACTAAGGCAGACTAACTTATCAGAATAAGGAAACCCTCTCTGCAAGCCCAGCACACACTCGATCTCTCCCTTAATGATTTTCAACAAGTCTTGGAACTCTTTTACTTCCCCTGTATACAAACGCCTACATCTCTCTCTCTCTCTCTCTCTCTCTCTCTCTCTCTCTCTCTCTCCATATGTGGCTCACCCACGCCTGCCAGATTGCACATCCAGATTCAGCAGCTTCCGTCGATCCACCAAGCTTCCTAATCAAGAAATCGATCAACTCTTTCCAATTTTGCACCATAGGCAACTGTACATATCTGCAAAAAAGAGCAGCAAACATCTGCCTCGAGAACAAACAATGGACATACAGATGGTCCCTATCTTCTAACCCTGACTTACAAAGACAACATGAAAGGTCTCCCGAAAATCCCCATTTCAATATCCTCATTTTCGTATTTATGCTCCCCCTGACTACCAGCCATGTAATAATTTTGTTTCTGGGAATGGTAACTCCTTTCCACAAGATTCGCCACCATGGAACTCTTTGCTGACTAGGACGAATCAGCTTCCATACCTTTCTAATTGAATATCGAGGCATAGTAGTATTGTCAATCAAGAGAACATCACCTCGGGCTGAGAATAAAGTTTTTCTAATACTGAAGATATTTTATTTTTATCTTTTTGCACCCTTAAGAAAAATATTTTTTAATTAATATCAATGTCTTTTCGATAATAGAATAAGGCATTTGGCGACCCATAATAAAATATCGTAACTCCGTCCCTGCCCTGCACATTGTCTTATACTAGATTTGAAACCCGACCCGTTGGTCGGATGCATTATTTCAAAAATATTAGCAATCATTGTTATTGTGTAAGCAAGATATATTTTTATTGGTATCAAAAGTCAAAATATCCGAACTATTCAATTACTGGAATTTTTTTTAAAGGAACATACATCATAGTATTTTCTAATATGCTAACTGGTTCATCAACAAAAGTACCTTGCCCGTTGGCTGGATGCATTATTTCGAACATATAAGCAACGTTTGTAATTGTACGAAGTAAGGTATATTTTTATTGATATCTAAAGTCAAAAGATTTGAACTAATAAAATTAATGAAAAAAAGGAACATACATCATAGAATTTTCTGATATGTTAACTGGTTCATCAATGAAAGTTCTTATTGAAAATAAAAAATAGAACTCATGAAAGGGAACTAATTCTTAAAAAACTTCAGTAAACTACACTTCAAATTACTTCTTGCCGTAAAAATTACTGTAATTTTCTTATGAACTTCTTTGCTATTGCTTCACCATATGTATAATTATCTCTGTCAATAATTGTAGTTTCATATTCATCACTGCGAGTCTGCGACCTCTCTATCCATCCTCAATAGTCTACCCCTTATTCTCAACAATGTCACAACGTCACTATCACTATTTTCGAATTCACTACCTCCACTATAAAAAAAAAACTATTTCTTCTTCACCTTCTTTTTATTGAAATTTCGTTAAGTGTAAAACTAAAATGTTTGCAAATATGAAACCTTTATCAATTAAAGATTCTTAATTGATGTGGCTACTAACCAATATTTTAATGTCCCACACGTTTAGTTTTCAATATAAAGGTTATAAATATTTTATTTGGTTAAGGAATAAAAATCCTACTACTATTGCACGTATTGTTAATATATAGACATATTTATTTGGTTTAGAAGTCTAAACATACTTTATTTTAATAGTTTATATGCCAAAAACACTCTTCCTACAAACTCTCGTAAGGCTCGAAATTTTGAATAGAATAGGTTCTGATGGAGAATCTCCATATAATAGTAGTAGGATAGGCGCACGCCCCTTTACAATAATTCAACTAGTTTTCGCGTCGTAGGCTAATTAATTATATTATAATCACATGCCTAAAAATAAAGATGGGCGACATCGACATGGTCCATCGCACTCTTGCATCTCTACAAACTAACATGTTCGAGCAAACGTGTTCGAGCAAACGTGAAAGGAAGGGCACCAACTAGGAGTTCATGGCTGCCTTGGCATATGACACTGACTCAAATTCCAACTTGAGGAATAATTAATCTCACAAGTCCAAGTTCCCATCCAAAATTTTGAATTAGGCTCGTTGAGGTGGCTTTTGAAAATCCGGGAATTATTTTTAGTCTTCTTCCCCCAAATCCAATGGCGGAGTGAGTTATCATGCATGTTGGACCAAACAACTAACTAATTTGCTCCCCGAAGTCTCATGGACCGGTCTGAACCATCGCCGCTGCTTCCTTTCCCCATGGAAACAAGCACAAATTTCCCTTTGAACATTCAGCGTCAACCTTCACTATATATATATATACCTCGCACCACCCGTCCCCAGGTAACATTCTCTCACAGAGGCATTTCCAGAGTCACTTCACGTGCAACATTAACTCCTCGCCTTCCCATAAACATACACAGAAAAACCATATTTGTTTTCACTTTCAATTCCGTTCCTAGATTCCAAGTTATTAACCAAAGTAACCCATCAATGGCAAGAGCAGGATTTGTCCGGATTCTGAGCTTTCTGATCGCCGTTGCGGTTATGATTCAGCTGTTTGGTTGCGGAGTGGAGGCTCGGCCGTTCAATATAGTGAAGTCCGATGCGCAGAGTGGCGGGAGCTGGTGGGCCGATGCGGCCTTCTGGGAAGGATTGGCCCTTGGGGCGGTGAAGCAATCGGGGCCCAGCCCGGGCGTCGGAAACAGCTTCACTGATGCCGCCAATGATGGTCCCAGTCCCGGAGTGGGCCACTGATCGTATTTGATTAATTGAAATTCATTCCATTATGGCGTTTTTTTTATATATAAATCTTAATTATTTAGTTCATTTTTCAATTTTTCATGGGTAGCTACTCGGAGCCCTATACATTTAATTCACTATTCTATTGGTATTTCTCTATAGTGTATTATTGTTACACTCCTCGATGGTGTGTTTTTTTTTTTTCATTTCTTGTTCTTAAGTGCAAGGTACATTCGTTCGGTTATGGAAAATGAATACAAAATAAAACAGGTGGCTCCATTTTTTCGATTAATATTGACCTTCATTTTGTGATGGTGATTGGATGAGTTTCTTTATTCTTTAATGATTATTATGTGCTCTTTCTTCATCATCGCTCACCAATATAATTCATAACCTTCTCAAGACACCGTCAGCGGAATTCTAAGTTGTCCCCCTTCACCGTTTCCCAATACCGCTGCAGAAAATCCATATCGGACAATTGAGTCCAAACACATGGGTAGTCAACCTAATTCGATCCGACCAAAGCGACCTGAACTCGGTTTTACAGGGTTCCAGTAGGAGCAAGCTTTATCTGTTTTTTTAATTCGCGAGTTGTGTCATGTGCGAATTTGCCCAAACCTCGGTTCAATCAGGTCAAAGCGAGTTGAACCTGGTATTGATGAGTTTTGAGTCAGTAGCGAGTTTTGGCTTTAATGTTTTTCATTTCGCTTTTTCTTTTTGTTTGAGAAAGACAATTGAACCCAAATACATGGGTATCTACCCTAATTTGACCCGATCAATGTGAGTTGAACCTCCTCAAATATGCAATCAGTTCAAAAACTTCATTAAGGAGAACCACGATCACCTCAAACCCAAAAAAAAAAGAGTATGACTCTGTTTGGCCCGAATTTTAGAAGTTTTATATTTCGAAAGTTGAAGCCAAGCCAAACACCTTTACAGTTTCACTTATTAAAAAGCTGAAGTTTTCAAACTTAAAAGCGGAAAGTTCCGATTTGAAAATACAAAGTTGTCACCATATATTATTCTTTTTCTAGAAAAACATAATTTTCTTTCATTTACATCGTTATAAAAATAAATTAAAAAATAGTATTATTTAATTTAATATAAAGTAAATCTAACGTGATCCATTATAAATACTTTTTTATTTTAATTTTTGTTCATATTTTATGTTAAAAATATTTTTAGTAATTTTACATTACCTCTTATATTAGAAAGTAATTCTGATACGAGAAGCGATAGCAAGCAGGCTTTTGCAAGTAAATATGAATTTTGACACCCTGCCTCTCCCTTTTTTTATGAATGATTGAGTGCTTGTATTCAGGAAAAGAGGAGGGTCTACAAGTAGTAGACTAACTCCATAATACAGCAAGATGGGAAAAGAAATTTGAAAGAAAGAAGAACATTAAGAGGGCAGAGATAAACCTAGTAAAATGAAACTAGCTTAAGGTGGTTGAAAAGAGAGAGGAGAACGATTCTCAGAAAGCAAACAGTGAAGGGCATCACTTTGATCTATAGGGATGAGTTTGTGGAACATAGCATAGTTGTAGATAGTTCGGCTGACCGTGTTGGTGATGCTCTTTACTTGTGTCTTTGTGTCCCTGAAAATTCTGGAGTTTCTTTCAATCCACAAGTGCCAAAATATGATTAAGGATAACAACTGTATTGCTTTCTTGAAGCGGCAACCTCTTGATAGACATGTCCATTCAATAAGAAGGTCTCTGCATAATTTCGGTATAGGTCCCTGCAACTGTAAACGATAGAAAAAGAAGCTCCAGACTTGACTTGCGAATGTGCAATGCAATAGCAAGTGATGTAATGAGTCTTCGGATGTGAAGCACATGCTGCAGTGATTGGGGAGACACCATCCTCGTTGTCGTAATATATCCAAGGTAAGGACTTTTCCTTGAAATACCAACCAGTTGAATGCCGATAGTTTGCTAGGGACCGGGTTTTTCTGGGAAGATGTCTCCAATACCTGGAAACAATCCTCATGTGAGATGTTTATAGCACTCGTTTACTAAGAAGCGATTCCCTTGAAGTGAATATAGCAGTGTGCCTGTTGCCCCTTGTAGCCAATCTGCAGGGATGGAGTTAAACATATGCTTAAAAATTTCTTCTTGTCTCTGTAGCTGACCACGAAAACCATTGGTGAAGTTTATATACCATGTAACTTCACCGTCCACAATCTGGAAACACTCAGATAAACTGCAAGTTGGGTTTACAGCAGCGGCAAATAATGAGGGGAACGTTTTCGAGAGGTTTCTGTGATGAATCCAACAATCCTGCCAAAATGAAATGGAGGAATTGATGCTTGGTTTAATAACTGCTACCTGCCAAAAGTGATGTTCCACCTTGAGGATTCGAAGCCAAATAGATTTGTGCATTGTTGTTGAGTGTACTTGCAGAGTCCTTATATTATTGTGGTAGCCAAATTTGTAATTAATTAGTGTTCTCCACCAAGCATCATCTTGTGTGTGATATATGCAGAACCATTTAGCTATCAAAGACATATTGAAATGATGAAGATCTTTAAAGCCAAGACCACCTAAAGACTGATCTGCCTTTGTTATACTCCAAGATGTTAAGTGAACTTTGTTGTCGTCTTCACTACCTTCCCAAAGAACTCTCTTCATGATCCTCTCCAAATGTTGTATAATAGTCATCGGTGCCAATAAGAGAGACATATAATACACTACTAAAGCAGCACGTGTGCGTTTGATGAGTACTATACGACCACCAAGGGAAAGCATAACACCTTTCCATAGGGATAATCTTCTAGTCATGCTGTCGACAACTGGGTTGCCATGTAATCATGATAGATGGATGTGCTCCCAATGGAAAACCAAGGTAAGTTGTAGGAAGTGACCCCAACTTGCTGCTTGCACCCTAGAGTGGTGGCCAATTCACTAGTACCTGAGACCTCACCAACGGCGAACAATTTAGACTTTCCCAAGTTAACTTTTAGTCCAGAGATTACCTCAAAGCAAGCGAGGGCTGTTCATATGTAACATCCCGTTTCGGCTAAAATCGTATTTCGATCGCTAGAAAGTTCGCGATTTAAAATCGAGCATTTCGACGGTATTTCAGCGAAAATCGGATTATCGATCCATCGGATAAGTATACGTATTAATTATATATATACATATATATATATATATATATATATATAAAAGCGGTCGGGATATAAAATTTACCGTCCATTTCCATTCTCTCATGCCATTTCTTCTTCCACTTTCGAACCGAGAGAAAAACAGAGCAAGCGAAGTTCAGGGAACGTCGGGGGAAAATTCTCCAGCTTAATTCTTGAGCATAAGTGATCCAAAAATCCCGTAAGTAATGCCTAATTCATCTATTAATCGTGATTTATCGATTTAGAGTTTTAAAACGAGTTTTTGGTTCAGGAATTTCTTGAATTCCCGATAAGCTAAATTAGGGTTTCGGAGTATCCGGAAGCCGGATTGAGCCCAAATTTCATATACGAGCTTCCTGCAGCGAGGTAATCAATCCTCTAGTTCTAATCCCTGAATTTTAGCTATTATTTAGGTCGGAGCCGGAACCGCTGAATTTAGCTCCGGCCAGGGTTTGATGTGTTTTTATCGAGAATTTGACCCGGAGCCCAGAACTAATATTGACGGGGATACTGCAGGGGATATTAGGACTGTCTCGGATTTTAATTCGGGGTTCGTTCGTGAAATTGATGTTTTAGTACCGGAGGCTAGAACCGGTGTTTGAACGACCAGAACTGGTGAGGGATTAGCACGGCATACCGGGTTTGTCGTATCACGATAATTATATTGATGCTTAGAATTGATCTAGGTGAACTAGAATGGCATGATTAGGGGTGTATGAACTTTTGTGCTATATGTTGAACCCTGGATTGCTGTATGATATTATTGACTTCCCCTAATCGATATGAACCTTGTTTATGCTGATGATGGTGTATATGTTGCAAATTGTGGACTTGACTGTTGATATGCCTTATGATGGTTCGGAAAGGTGATTGGGTATGATTTTTCATGATTGTTGTATTTGGATGCACAAGTGGGAAAATATATATTTTTCCCTGGTGACATTATGATGTTTTAAGGAGGATGACTTGCACGAGGGTTTATCCCGAGGAAGTGCAATTATGCGACTCCTGGTTATGTTGAGCCAATTGTGGCCAGGTCAAGAACATGTCCAAGTAACAAATTATGGTTAAGCAAGATGAGATGTGAATCATGTACAAGGATACCAAATATGAATGTTGTGGTCTCACGGTCAACTACATAGTAATTAGGGCTCCCTATGCTATTACTCTATTATGATATGTATGATAGTCACACCTCTCATGTGGTGGTGACTGAAGAATTCTTACGAGATATGACCACACCCAAAGCGGTGTCGGGGTATGACTACACCCATAGTGGTGTGGGGTATGTATGACCACATCCGACGGGATGTTGGGGTATGTATGACTACATCCGACGGGATGTGGGGTATGTTTCCCGGGAGAGTTATTAGCATGGGAGTAGCCAGGCGCCTATGATTAAAACATGATAAGATGCATATGCATAAGTCAAAGTGGTTGAGTCTTTTGCCTATTGGGATATGAGGATGGCTGAGGTCCGATCCTAGTGTTTTGGCTTGTTTGCTAGATGTATGGTAGGGGTATGCTCTGTTATGAACTCACGATGCTATGATTATCTCGCTCAGCTATGAGCTGACCCTCTTTTATTCTTCTTCTCTGCTTATGCTATGTGTAAGCAGATCATCAGCAGCAGCAGTAGATAAGTGTTAGGTGGGAGAGGAGCTAGAGTTGAAGCCAGGATGAGGTATGGTCTTCAACTATTCTGTGCTTGGACTACTACTTGGGATTTTGGCCAGTGATCCACACCTTTTTGTAAAAATGTTTTTAGAACATTTTCATGTGCATACTAGCTTCGAATGTAGTGTGAGATATCCAGAGGTGTGGAAAGTTAATGATATGTGTATATGTTGTGTAACTGTGTAAGTTGTGACGATTATGGCTTGTATTAGTATGGTATGCAGTTGTGTAGTATGAAACTGTGACTATGGCTATGAAAACCCAATGCATATGGTTGTGAGTATATGTGTTTGTCTATGAATGCATGGATTCAGATGAATTATTTTGCAGGATCATATGGAAGAACTGTTAGCCCATTACGCGAGTAATTCATGTCGAAATTTTATTTGGGTAAATTTTGATAATTAATGTAACGCCCGAGATTAATTCCGCTGCAATTGTATGAACAATATGATTAGGCAA